TCATTTCCGTTCCTACTCTTACTTTCCCCCTCAGGTACTCCACCCCCTCTCCTCACGTGTCTTCCTTACCCCTCCTCCCCTCACCTCTCTCTCAGTAGGGTAGGAACAGCATCACACCTCTCTCTCTCACAGTGGTCTAAACGCCCTTCTCCAGTGCAACAGAAAGAGATTATTCTACCAACAACAAAAATCAAGTAATTCCGTTCTCACTAATCCCCACTAACAAATAATAATAAAGAAACACATAATAACTGGGACGTGAAATATAAAAAAAAAACGTAATATTAACGTAATGAATAACTTTACTACGTGTAATTAAAGAGGAAATACCTTTTTTTAATTGGTCTCCTTGTATTTCACAGGCTAGTCGAGTGTTAGTACTAAAACTGTCGTATACATTTGGTCACAGTATCAGCTAACCTATTCAATTAAATGTTTACTATCATTCCATACTAAAAAAAAAATCCCCTTATTTTTTATTCGTAGAAAAGATCTTTAACTTTACGAGGGAGGAATATTGTTATTTCTCTATCAACCTCGTATTTATATTACTCTCTCGTGTCTTGTATGTGGTATATCATGTTTTTCATTACACACACACACACACAGTACGAATGCTTTTAACTCTGCGTGTGTGTGTGTGTGTGTGTGTGTGTGTGTTTTCAGTAAGGTTGTTTTAATAACTCATCTGTATAAAAGGTCTCTCATCACACTCTGGTAGAACTACACTATGTATGTATATTAACGTGATATAAAACAATAATACTCTTCTTGTAAAATATGACGTGTGTGTTGTCAATGGTGAGGTGGGTATTAGGGGGAGGGAGGGAGGGAGGTTAAGTGAGGGAACTGAGGAAGGGAGACGCTAGGGAGGAAGGAGACGTGGAGGAGGTTGTTTGAGACTGAAGGAAGAGGCTACAGAGAAGGAGGAAGGAGACTAGGAGAAGGAGAATGAGGAGGAGAACTGGAGGAGGAGAGAATGACAAAAGAAGAGGAGGATGAAAGGAGGAAAAGGATAGTTTGGGGAGAGAAAGAGACAATGGTCAAGGTTGCTAACAGAGAGTGAGGGAGGGAGGGAGGGAGGGAGGAGGGAGGAGGAGGGAGGAGGAGGAGGAGGAGGAGGAGGGAGGGAGGGAAGGAGGGAGGAAAGGATGGTGATTTAGGGAGAGAGAAAGAGACAATGAGTAAAGGTTACTAACAGAGAGTGGGAGGGAGGGAGGGAGGGAGGGAGGGAGGGAGGGAGGGAGAGAGGGAGGGGGTTGCATGAGGAAATGTTCAGATAATACTGTGTTTCTGTTTACCTGAGACAAGACAGTTAGCACATGAGAAAATAAACCTTATATTACCTGTCTGTCCTCAAAGACTAAGAACAATAAAATAGTATTAAGTATGAGAAATGACACACACACACACCCTACCCCTCCACACGTACACAATAAACTCCATAATACGTACATATATACATCAATATATACATACACAGACCCTCTCCCCTATCTCTCTCTCTAGGTCTTGTAATCATCAGGTCCTCTTTCGTCCCCAAATCATCAAGTTCACTGCTTCTCTGCTCGTGTGTGTGTGTGTAGCTCCCCCTCCCCCCCCACCCTAATTATCACCCTTGCTAACTTCTCTTCCCTTCACACCCAATTCAATTAAACTGCTTGAGCTGTACTTGACAATGTGTTATTCCACCCCGCTACCTCTCTTCCACTACCTCCTCCCCAACACACACACACACGCCAACACACACACACGCCAACACACACACACACACACACACACACACACACGCCAACACACACACACACACACACACACACACACACGCCAACACACACACACACACACACACCCAACACACACACACACACACACACACACACCAATTCTCAGCAACCCCCCTTAATCTTCTTTTCTTTTCCAATCATTATTATCATCTTTATGCCCAGTCTCGCGTCTTTTTTTTTTTGTCTCGTTCTCTTTGTCTATTCTATTCCTTCTTTATTATTCTCCTTGGTATCTTCGTTAACGATGGGGGGATTAGATCATCGAGGCTCAAGGAGTAGGTGTCGCGTCTTAGTCATTTTGATTCGTTCTCTCTGATCAAAACATTTATAATTGTGACCCCTTATTGTTTCTGTGTTATTATGAGGTGTCTCTTCTCTCTGTGTATCTATCTCTCTCTCTCTCTGTCTTCCTCTCTATCTCTATTCCTCCCACTGTCTCTCTTTCTCCCTCTGTCTCTCTCTTCCTGTTGATCTCTCTCTCTCTGAACCAGTTACCTAGAAGTTCTAAGTTTAGGAAAGGCCTTATATTACAGAACGTTTTCTCAATTACAGATTATACCTCTCTATCTCTCTCTCTCTCCCTCTTTCTTTTTCTCCATCTCTGTCTCTCTTCTTCTCTGTCTATCTCTCTCTTCCTCTCCATCTTCACAGAGAAGTCAGTAAATAATATACAGCCTTCAGTCAGTCACATCGCCATACCGTCAGGGTCTTGTGCCTAATTTTCTCTCCGTCGTCCTGGGAGTAAAATCATTAAGGAATCGTAACTTACACACAAAACCTCCTCACCATTCTGGATCCGTCATAGTCCCTGTGTTCCTCTTGCGACTTTGGGACTTTTCTTTGGACCTTTTTTTTTAAGGGGACTTATTCACTGATTCTGGATCCTGTACGTTCAACTTGAGGACTTTTTGGGGTCGGACTTAAGACTTAAACTAATTTGACGTTGGTATTTTTCGTTTGAGCTTTGGGAAATTTGACTTGGTTCGGGTGGGACTTCATGTGTGGCCTTAGAACATTATTTGAACTTTTTTCTTTTGACTTCTGTACTTATCTTTCCCATGACCGCATGACCTCGACACAGTTTGTAGGATTTTCTTTTCTTTTTTTTAATTTACAGTTTTACTTTCGGGTTTTCGCTTTGATTTTGGAGTTT